CTGTTCCTTAGTCTATTTAGCTTTGTTTTTATTATTCTTTTTCGTCTCCTTGATTGGAAGAGTTCAAACAGTGAGAATCCAGGGTAAGAAATGTCCTTTATTAAGTGTTTTGCTCTCTTGGGGAACTGAGAAAATGCAGCTCCTGCAGTGTGATCGAACTATTGATAAATGTTAGACCTTCAAGTAGGTAAATAAAAGAGATTAATCTAATACGTAGCAGCAGAGTAAATTTAGTGTAGTATCTTTGTTTTGTTTGCCCAATTAAATAATCGGTGTTCATTAATAAACCTTTTAACCTGAGTAATGCGGTCTCCTCGTGCTTTTTATCTGACAAATATAACCGATAGAAAATAGCAAGGAGTCATTACTCAGGTTTATTTCGATAGATTGCAATACAAAAATGTTAACAAAAATCAATACAGTTAAATATGGCTTAATCAAGCTATGCTATGGATAAACATGTTAGACTGTAGCAATCTGAAATCACAAAAATATAACCATGTCGCACTTTGCTTTACGTCGACAATCAGCACAAATGCAGTCAGGCAGGCGCAGAGACCTGAATGACGTTTTATTGGAACTGAATCACAAATGCTCTCTGTATGTGACATAACACTGAAGCAGGTATTTCAAGTCCAAAAGTGTAATAAGAGTGCAAAAATCTTTCCTCTCTGCAACAGCAGATGATTTCATTATCATTTAACCTTTATTTATCCAAGTTGCCAAACTAATTGATCATAAAATTTTCATTTTCTGAAACAAAATCTCATAATGAAGGTCAATCTGTTTTCGTCTGTTTATGGACCAGATTGTCCAAAAACCTCAACTTCCTCAGTCAGTGTTGAATGTATTTTCCTTTCAAAATTAAAACCATTTGCTCAAATAAAATTAAACACAGCTTTACCCTGGCAGCTCTCTCACAGATCTCTCACCACTATGTACTTTATGTCAATTTGCACCAACAAGCAAAGGATGGCAGAAAACTTAATCACTCTCTCCCTCCTAAATATTTACCAACATCAGATGTCTGCCAGGAAATTTTCAGTTAGTGACAACGAAAACCGTATTTCTTTTGTGTTTAGTCGCATTTTAACTTCACTGTAAACTTCTTGGAAAGATTGCAATTTAAGCTAACATTGAGTGAAACGACAGTAAGTACTGAAAAAGTGACAAAGATACCACACTTCACAGCAACAAACTATTGAGTGAAATGCAACTTCACTTAAAATGTAAACCCTGAAGGAAATTTTTGGGAGCAGAACCAAAGGTTTCACCTGGTTTAAAGAGTGTTATGCTATTACCACGACCAGCATTGTCATCCTATATACGGTAGTCACGTATATAGGATGTAGCTGAACCACCAGGCTCAGATGTGACAGAAAAAACAAGAAAAGCTAGAACACCTCAGGCTCATCCGCTCTGTGAATGATCCGACCTCTCCATTGAGACGTGGTCAGGAATGCAGCACGGAGTCAGACTAGCGGGAAGAGAGCGATTAAAGCTTTGAGAGCTAATCAAAACCCACCTTCAGCAGCTTTCACATTAAACCCCTTTAAATCCTAGAGAATCCCCACTGAAACGCGAGGCCGTCTGTCAGACCACGGCGCTGAGAGCAGAGCACAGCTGCAGCAACTTTATATGCTACACGCGATACAAACAGTTTTTATGAAACATACTCACACATGAACATCATATTCATAGCCACGACACCTTTGAATATACTTTCTGATACTCCATGCTGCATTATTAGCTTCAATAATTAAATGATGAAATAAAAAATCCTCTCTTTTATTTTCTTCAAGTTGCAGTTTGAGGCCATTTAACCCCACAGATCCTTTTTTCCTCCCACTAATCTTCTTTTTTCCATCTTCAAATAATTAATCCTGGCAGCTTTTTGTCACCCTTTCTGAAGTCACGTCTAAATTTGTTCTTTCTTTTTCGTTTTTTTGTTTTATTCCGCTTCTCCTGCCATTCTGGCAGCATCATAAGGGGATCGACATGTTTTTGGGAATTGATAAAATACATTCTTTAAATGATGAAGATTGAATCTCAATCGTCCACATCAATCACACATGCTGTGAACAAATGAGTACAATAATAAAAATAACAATTCAAGTAAAACCAGAAAATAATAGAACTGTGAAATCAAGAAAGGGTTTTTTTTTCTGATTACTGCCAGACACAATCATGATAATATCATTGTAATATAAAAGAATAAATATGTTCCTTTCAAGTGCAAACCTGCTTACAACATAGTACTTCAGCCAGTTAGAAATTAAAATCCTGGACAGTTTGCTCTTAGGACTAATTTAATAATTATTTTTGAATATTAAACAAATATATTGTATTCCTTCAAAATGTTTAATTCAACAGACAAAACCTGCTCTTTTGGTATTTATCCTATTGTAAATATTCTTATGCATAATTGATTTTTTTAATGAAACAATTAAAGTAAACTTAAAAGAGTCTAGAGTTGGTATCATGGCAGATGAACACACAATTTATTTGTGGGATGTGGCGACATCAAGTAGCACTAGTTTCACATTGCAGTCAAGGAAAGGAATCGAGGGGTGAACTTTTTATCGGCCAGCCGATTTAATGGTGCAGATTTCCGATCCTATCCACCAATCTTATCTATCTCAGCAAAGGTAAATAAAATCAATCATTGTCTTTTGTTCTCCCGTCAGAGGTTTGACTGACAGACCAATCCACGAGGTTACTGTACTTAAATACTGTACTAACCCCACTGTTGCCAATTCAGCAACTTTCTCGCAATATCAAACAATTTTTTCAGACAAAAATATTGTCTGAAAGTATCGGCCAAAATCGGACGGTTAGATTTTTTTTTTAAATAATAAAAACTGCAATCGGTGCATCCCTACGATAGTTCTTTATTAAGTAATGACTTTCTGTAATCTGGGTATTGTTTTGACTGTTATTTTTATTGCTTTAACACATTTATACATTAACAATTTATTTTACTATTAGAAGTTAGAACTTATATCTAAGTATCATTACAGAACAGTTGCAATGCGCATTTATAAACACTTTAGTGTTTGCTGTTGCTATTTTAACATTTAACACCTTAAAAATATGTTTACTAAGTTAATTCTAATAAAACTAAGCACAATTTTCAGTTGAACATGAAATGATTATAGCTATACTAAATTAACATAGAGCAGGAAAACAAATGATAAACTGTGCGGCCTTATGGTCGTGTCAGTAACTGTGACTTTCTGCGCTACTGTTTGTATTTGATATGAACAATTAGGAAATATGAAGCCAGTGTAATCCACTGTCTCCGAATTTCTCATTTATTCTGTGAACACATCAACCAAACTATAAGCCTCAATCAAAGTTTGAATGTTTCGTTCTTTAATAGCTTCTCCCATCGTATTTTTCAAAGTTAATTCTCACGAATCTCTAAAAAAGTACAAATCTTGCAGCTGTTTGACGTTTTGCCGTGCTGCTTTCAACTTGAACTCAACCGACCTAAACCAAACCCTGGATGTGCGCGCACAGGGCACTAAAGGGAACCAGATGGGAACTCTCTACTGACAGCTCAAACCCCAGCGATGACAGACCTTCTCCAGCCAAAAGCATGGCACTAAAGCACCTGTTGCCCTGCGGCTATTTTGCAGCACCTCTTCCCAACACCACTGGCTCCTTTTTCAGCTATGAGGTCACTTGCTTGCTCAGGCCAAAAATGTCCAAAGCGGTCACTTAAATCTTCTCCCACTGAACCCCTGCTGCCCCCACAACTATTATGATCCCCATAACCCTGGCAGAATGAATAACTAGTCCCATGATCATAGCAAAAATTTAAGTGCAAAGTTTGATTGATCATAAAAGCCTTAATTTGGGGTGTAATAAAAATGACAGCCTGTCCAACACTTATTTAAGGAGCAGAAGGAGAACTAAGTGGACAGCTCCACACAGAAGAGTGTGAGTCTGTGAAAGCAGAGGCTGCTCTGTGTGAATGGCGTCCACAGATGTTCTTCACATGTCCAGCATGGTTAGACAGTCAGTGTTTGTTTGCATGAGAGATCTGTTCATAGGAGCAGCTGGCTGTCTAAATACTCCTCATCTCTTCATTTACACATCACCCATCCCTGACTGCCCAGAAGGTGTGCTCAACAAAAGACCCACACACTCTTCAGCTTTTGTAAATCATCTGCTGGAAAAATCAGGAATCTGTTTTGAGATTTAATTTGTATATCTTTGAAGGAAGTTTATAAAAAAAAAAAAGTAGAAAGAAAAAGAAAATCAAGTGAAATAATGATGTCACCTCGGAGGAAGTGTGCGCACGTACAGTTGACTGAGCCAGCCCATCTGGAGTACTTATGAAAAGGTTGTTTATAACTCACCAAAATGACTCTAGTTTGTCATTTAAATGAGGAAAATAAGAAAACAGCTCGAACAACTGCTGAGATGTAATGGCCTGTCGTCAAACATAAATTACTGCCAAACTTCTTTTGATATATACACACACACACACACACAACGTGGACATGGTACAAATCCGGCCATATTTCTGAAGGATTAACTTGACCTCAACCCTTTCACCTCCTTGCAAAGAGATTTTTCAACATTGTCACAATAAATACAATAAAAGTTAGCTTTAAACTGCATTCCTCAAAAATGCTCCTCAGTGTGCTCAAACTAAAACAAACTGTTTAGCACCAGGTGACACATACTCAGTCATGCTTGTTAAAATAAACACATGAACGCAGCAAACACTGGACTGGCCATGGCCTCCGGATCCCCATAGTTTCCCTCTTTTGTTTATGGACGTGAGTTCTGATAAAAAATTTAAAAAAATTGTTTCCTTTTCATCTCAGTCAGAGACGCAGATATGAAAATTACTCTTCTGTCCAGGAAAGAATAAAGTATTGAACAGAGCAGTGAGCAGCTTTGATATTATATTGCTACGTTAAACCATAATTATTGCAGGGTATGGACAAAACAACCCAGGAAGCACTACTTCGTTTTGTTCTTACCTTGTGTCTATGTGCTGGGGAATTCAATTCAGGGTCATTCTTCTCTCCAAGTGTGGCTCCATGTCCCGGCATGGCTCCATCCTGCTGCATGCTCTCTCCCACCTGCACCACCGCTTTGCAATCCACACACGAACCTATCACCAGCCTCCTGCCATCATCCACCAGAAGCATGCGAGGGCTGCGAGGCGCGTACAGGAACACGGGAAGCCGAGCCACAGTGACAGCGCACAGCCTGCCTTGCCTGTGCTGCTCCTGCCTGCAGAAGAAGCACACAAAGGCCTCACAGCTGTACTGACGGGCCCACTGGGAGCTCGGCAGGTGAGAGTTAGCACCAGCTAAGCCAGAGGTAGAAGGGCTGGAGGATTTCAGGGCCTTGCTCTCATGTTGTGCCCACTGAGAGTGCAGGTCGTGGTAGCAAAGTTTACAAGCGGACACGAGGCCTGTGGCATCAACTGGTTTAGCACCTTGTGCAGGTGGATAAACTGTGAGAAATGGGAAGAAAGGCTCCCTCTCCACAAAACGACTGGGGGGATTGACATGCAGCTGGTACTCTGCACCTGCACTCAGTTCCGCTCCACACAGGTAACACACCGAAAGGGAGCTGCTGTGGCGAGAGATCACCCCCACCTGAGAGTGGACGGCTCCGGACCTTCCTTGTCCTCCTTGTCCATCGGCGGACAAGGAGGAATGGTACCGAACGAGGAAGGAGCTGACAGATGTGATGAGATCTTCACTGAGGCTGAGTCGATACGCACTCCAGATGTCCTGCAGAATAGCGTGGCATTGTGGGCAACAGTGCACACGGCCGTTCTTCACCGCTTGAGCGTTAGGTGGGCAAGGCAACAAGCCAATGAAAGGAAAGTACATCACAGCACGGGATTTCCCTACGCCAGCTTTTGCATACACGACCCTCAAATCCCCTCTACCCTCCTGACCACAGAGGAAACATGTTTCATGGGAGGGCTTTGGTTCAGGTGTGACCTCCAGGGAACCTGGAGTTCTTCTGTCGAGTGTGTTGTGTAGGGATGGATGAAGACCGGAAGCACTGGAAGTTTGATTCAGGGGGACGACATAGAGGCGCTGAAGCACAGGCACATCAGCCAACTGAAAGCTCTCCCACTGCTGCATGAGAGAGGAGTGGCAACTTCCACAAACAATGGTTGTACCTGAGGGGCTGATGGGCACTGCACCTCTGGGAGCCGAGTGGAGCCACAGGAAAGGGAAGAAGGGCTCTCCCTGCGCCCTCTCCTGTTTTTGAACACTGATTTTGAAATGGGCACTATGTCTGAGTCCAGTACCACAGATATAACAAACCCGTTCATCTGGCGAGGAACCAGCAGTGTGATGGGAGACCCTCCTGGCGGAAGGATCTGAGGCAGCTCGAAGCTGAGTTGTTGGCCCTGGTTTGGGACAGCGAATGTCCCGCTCATCATCACTTGTGATGTTTATCTCGTCTTCTCCGGAGTTGTCAGAGTTGATCTCCCTGGCGACGGTCGAGTTGCATTTGGAGATGACGGGAGACAGCGCAGCGCTGGAGTTGCTCTCGGCTTTCCCTCGATGCAGCAGAGATGGATATCTGGACGGAGCGCAGCTGCTGTCGGCAACACGCTGGATCTGACGCTGCTCCACATGTCTGACACTCTCCTCCTCCAACCAGCGCCTGTTGCGCATAATGACCCCGTTGTCTCGCACAGGTGTGTCAGTTAGAGAATTGCCACAGCAGCGCTGAGTGTGTCTCTCTTGGGGCTTCAGCAGAGCTTCTGATGACTGACTGACATTCATAATTTTAGCCCCGCGCCTTGCCGGCTGCACACTCTCAGCTTTAGGCAATTCCCGAGCGTCATAAACGCCCGCCGCGCAGCGCACCGCCCGCTGTGAATCCGGGCTGCTTTTAATACTGATGACATTGTTTTTCCTGCTACTGTCTCTTGGGAATTTGACGGGCGCTCTCAGACACTTGTCCTTGCCCACTCTCTCCACCAGATCCATCTCCTGATCTGAAAGGTTCTCGTTTTCAGAAAAAGATGAGAAGTCAGAGTCTGCGCCTCCGTCGTAGTTGTGGCTGCCCACGCTGATTCTCCTCTCCAGGTCGTAGGAGACGTTCCACTCCTGTGGGACCCGCCTGGAGTCGCACTGGTAGGGTCGCTTCAGCCAATACATGCGCTTCTCGATGGGCGTCCTGCTCCGCTCAAATGAGTTCCACTGCTCCGTCAGGAAGCAGTGGCACACGGCGCACACCAGCGCGCAGCCATCCGGGCTGAGTTCACACGCACCCGGGGCTGGCTCTTGGTTCTGGAGAAACGGGAAAAAAGGCGACCTCTCTTTCAGATATGTCACTTGCAGCCTCAGTTCCTTCCCAGGTGTGACCCCGCTCCCGCATATGAAACAGTGAACCAGACCCCCCACTCCGTTCCGATCAGCCCTGGAAGTGGTGCGGGGCAGCGCGCTGTCCTCACCGGGCATTGATGCAGCCATGAGCCGGTGTTTGCGAGATAAGGGTGCCAGCTCCTGGTCGCGGGGAGAGTTCATTGCTGTTAAACCCCCGAGGCTAGGCTACATAGCAAAACGTCAACAAAGTTAGGTCATACTCGTCTTGAACACTTGTCTCCGAGCGTGCAATAGTTTTCGTCCAACTTATAGAGTGATAAAACCCGCGGCAGTCCATTGAAACAAACAGCGTGCAGCAGCGAAGCCAGCAGTCCCGTTAAGCGTTGCTCTCACCCGCAAGGACAAGGAGAAAAATCCCTCCAAACTTCCATGTAGCTGCACGACAGTCCTTATTTTTGAAAGTCCTTAGTCCACGTGTTTGTTCTGAACGTCCGCATGACAGAAGTTGAGATCACTTGTCGTATCCGGCAAAACTTTCCTGCCTGCGCTGTGCAACTTTGGCTGCAAACTCACTCACACTGTACACAGCGCCATCCCCGATTCATGGGACCCGCTCAGACACCCCAAAGACAACCTCCACCCCCAGCCAGCCCCCCCCCACCTCCCAGTGTTAGTTTAGATGTCAGTTTTCCTGATTAGAATCGCACTGTCAAAAAACAACAACGATGCATCACCTGCAAACAAAACTCTTGCAGCTTTCATAAGACTCATTCAAGGAGTGATGAGTAAAAATAGTTGGAAAACTTGCTCAGTAAAAAAGTACACATTACTCAGTGTGAGTGCGGGTTATTGATAAGTGATTATCAGAAGTTATTCCAAAGTACAACTGATTCTGATTTATGCTTCACTTAGAGAGAAATAGAGAGAGGACACAAGTACTTTGAGATTTTCTGCTTAATGCTGAAATGTCATGTTTTTTTCCTATTTCACACTGCAACCACAGTACAGGTCTAACAACGAACAATCATATCGCTTTTGCAAAACTGTTGTGCTCTGACAAACCTTGGTAATATGCCAGATTTTGACATCACAGATGCTGATGATTTTCATGTTTTTCTTGGGACCAGCTTCAGGTATGTTACAACTAAAATAATTTTGTGTTTCATCCTCTTCTAGTCACAGCTCATGTTTTTTGACTATGCAGTTATTCGCTTCAAACCACTGTAATCATAAACATAAGAGCTATCATGGGTTTTATCTGAGGGTTGTGGTATGCAGTTAAGTACTTTTTTAAATGTCTGTTGACATCTTTATTTTTTTTGTTCATATAAGTCAGGTGATTGACTGGGCCGTTCTCAAGGCTTATTTTTGCACAGCTCCATAACATCTTCTCTTTGGTCAGATATACGAGAGGGTTTCAGGGTTGCCTGGTCATGGCTGGTTTATGGTGAAATTATGTTCTGTTCATTTATGGATTAATGCTCTAGTCCTGTTCACTGAATGGTGCAGAAGTTTAAGAAGTCATCTGTAAGATTGACACTTGCATGGTTTTCAACAGTAAGATCTTTTGCAAAGGTTTTTTGTTTTTACAAATAGTCCAGCAGTTATTAAATTAGCTGATATTACTTTTCATGTAGCTACAGCCATGCTTTCTAAATACTAACAGATTTCAGTCTATTTCTTGTTTTTCTATACCTTTTTGTACACAATTTTCTTAATGTATTATATACTTATTCCTTGTACTGTTATATTTTATTACACATAGCTAAATTTCTAGGAGTAAATGTTATGCCAATGGAACTATTTCACATATATTTAGTAAGAAAAACATTGACATGTTCAACACTTATTTTACTAAGTTTATGTTAGAAGCAGAGGGAAAAAATGTGTCTGTATTTTTTATATAATAAAGAGCCTTAGGTTTTAGTGAGTTCCTTTTGCTTCTGGTGTGAAAAGAGATTAATGAAGGTAGAGTATCAGCATATCTGTAAAGCCATATGAGGAAGTTAGCCTGCAGAGATAAAGGATATGAAGACACATTTTGAAACAAAAGCTGGCGTCTATAAAAATGTACAAAACTAAGACAGAAGATACAGGCAAAATTCACAAAAACTGTTTTCCTCCTGTCACATTTGCAAATTGCTAATATAGATAATCACGAGTGGATCTGATTTCACATTATATGACCATGGTACTAAAATTTGTGTATGCACTGTCCGAGGGTCTGGTTGTATTCATTACCGTAAGGTACTGTATGTGCTTGTTTTTTTCCATGGTCATATGGGAGGCATTATTTTACAGTTACACCACAGGACTCCATACCTCACCACAGAAACCCACTGAAAATCCGGCTTGTCCGAGGAAATATTAAGAACAGACGCTTTATCTTTTGCACAAACAGAATTGATCAAGCAGCAACAGCTTACAAAAAGCTTACAACAATTTTATAACAATTACAGAAAGGATGCTGTGGTAGCGCAGGGGTAAAGCACAAGCCATACATGGAGGCCTTAGTCCTCGATACGGCTGTCACAGGTTTGAGTCCTGGCTTGAGCCGCATGTCTTTCCTCTTTCTCATTACCTACTTTCCTGTCTGAGTCTGACCTCTCTCAAATGAAGGCCACTAGAGCCAAAAAAAATTAAAAAATTAAATTAAATTAAAAAATAAAGGATAAACAATAAGTCCCTTGACTGCCTTTGATGCACTGGAAAGCATAGATTGGAACATGCTAAAGTTAAAATGCATGTATCTGCAGAGGTTTTGATTCCCTAAGCTCATTTTGAACTTTAGCTTCCTAGTGAGAACACCATCAAATACAGCAAGCAGCCCATGAAAAGCAGATGTCTGTGGTTATTTTTAAAGAACAAACCAACATTTTTAAGAAAACCAATGATCAATTCCCATTTAATTCACTTGACATTATTATCAATATCAAATATGACAACCAAAACCTGTACATGTGGTGTCACATAGAGTTCATGGTTACCTAGATCCATATGAGAAGTGCTGGCACCACTGGGTACATGTGCAACTGGTTTTCAGTATCAGCTGTGCCACACAGCCGTGTGTTTATGTGAACTTAATTCACCACATCTGCACTATGGTGTTGAGTACGGCTTACACTTATAGTCCCTTCACACAGGAGTGTGAGACCATGCCATGGTTCCCATGGCCTGTTTATATACGGCTGGACAGCAACAAATTACAGCGATAATCATGAGGCTGCTATACTCTTACTATTTGCCAAGTGCCATTTTTTAAAATTCTTGAGATTCTGAATGTGCTATGTATTTGCAACGCACTTCTAAAACAATCCCACGTCAAACACCTAATGAAAATTTCCCAAAGCGTGACTCTTTCAGACTGGTGAGGATGCACCTGTGCATCAAAAGATTATTCCAAACGACCACAAGAGGTGATGTGCCCTGCATGCATTTTTTTTCTTAAAATTTTGTGATGTTGAAACCACAAACTTAAATACATTTTATTTGCATTTTTATGACAGATACACCAACAAAAACATAACACAGAGTTTAGAGGTGGAAGGCAAATCAGATACAGTTTTAAAAACTTGTGGTGTGCAATCTGAACTGTTTTATGCACCTTTTTGTCTTTTACACTTTAGGTAAAATAAGCATCTAGCTTTAAAGAAAGTCTTCTTATGTGTATGCACATAAGAAGAGGAAGAGCCTTCACTGCTCTACCTCTCAGCTGTGGCAGAAGATGAACCCCTGAACAAACCATCACTGCAGCAAAGCATGGTGGTGGAGTGCACAGTTTCAATTTCCCTGACTGTGCCCAACACAGTGTAGAGTAAAATAAACATATCATTCTAATAAGAAGACAAAAAAAGTATCAGTTAGCTAAATTGATATGTACTACTGAGAATTTTAGCTTGCACAAACCTATGGCTGCTTCAAACAACCAACCCCTTCCATTGATGGTAAGAACAATCCTTTGCATTACTGGAGAGTCAACCAAGGGATGACAAGTATTTTTTCTTTATCACAGCCTTCCATGACGAGCACAGGAACCAGCTCAGCATGCTTTCTTCTTTTCTTGTTGGCGGTTTGGCAAGCAACTAATTGATGTGCATTACCTACTGGAGCCTAGCATGCCGAAGTGCTTATCTTACACAAACAAACAAACAAAAAAAGTTGACATTATACTCAGACTGCAGGGAGTCTATTTCTCTGATTCGATCAGTCTTGTTTCTGTTTTACTTTAGTTCATTCCTTCAGTTTATTTTTATTTATTGGCTCTAGTTATTCCTTGTTACTGTAGCTTAATTATATTTCTTAGGTCTAGTTATTCATTAGTGTTAGATGTATTTCCGAGACCTTTATGTACTCTCCCTTGCTCCTGTGCCATTTTCTCTCTCTCTCTCCTCACACCTGCAACCTGTTTCTAATCAGTCATTGTTTGCTTGTTTAGTCTCAATCTTGCTGGTTCCTCTTGTTTAATCCTGTTAAATTCTTTTACTTCCCTTTTGTTCCCTGTTCTTGTGAATTTTTTTGTTCTGCAAAAAACTCTCTGGAGTTTTTTGTTTTATGTTTTTTGTTTTTTATTTTATTTTTATTCTTCATGAAATCTTCAAATCAACTCTGCCTCAGCCTGTCTACATTTGGGTCCACTCAACTAACACACCATGACACATTCTAAGTTTTTGTGATGCTGCTTCCAATACATAAAGAGGTCGGTCTTATTAAACTTCACTGGTTTTGTACCACAAGTTTTGCACTCAACTGTTATGTCTTTTTTTGGTTTTTGATGAAAAGTACTGCCATTAAGCCGACACCGCCTCTATTCTAGCAGTGTCATCTACGACTCTGTCAACAAATTCTGTTGCTGTGATAATGTCTGCTCTGCATGAGTAATACAAGCACTACCGAATAAAAATAATGGGGTGGAATATTTGCTGGAACAAAAATCTGGGCCAGACTATTTGCTGAAATGGATTGCTTCTATTTAGTTGCAGAACGATAAAATCCCATACTGTATTTTGGCTGATATCAGGACACCTTAGTTTTGTGTAAAATGTATTGTGTCCCAAAGTAAACCCAAGATTTCTTAAACACCAACATTACACTATCTTACACCATTGACATCACATTGGCACCATTTGCCATTTTCTCTCTTGGTAAGCTTTTCAAAACTGTTGAGTAAAAGGAGGGAGATTACATCATTCCTAACCTGATGCCAAAGTTCTAGCCAAGACTTTATCTGATGTCTTTAAGCTGCAGCACAGTTGTCATCTAATATGAAGGCTGATAGAATACAGTATTTGCTATAGTTCCCAAATAGTTATTTCTGTGAAACGTATTCCCCCAAATCAAATGTCAGAGCAGCATTCACTGTTTCTTGCATTGGGTTGGCATGTTTTATCCAACCAAGGCAACTTGATGATGCAAAGCCTGACTGACAGCCCTGACTTGTCTGTGACCTTTTGCTACACCATTATTTACAACTTCCTTCCCTTTTCTGTCATGTCATTCTATTGGTTTGCCTTTTTGTTTCTCCCAGTGTAAGCCCCAAACTCATTTTAATTAGTTATTAATTTG